GTAACCTTCTTCCCTAGTTCGGTTTATGTCAACTTTTCATTTACTTTTTCATGCAGATTCTTCTGCAAAGTCTATTTATGTACATTGTCATAGACATTGTTTACAATTTACTTCTTTTTCACTTCCTTTTCATTTTCTCATACACATCACTTTCTCTGTATTAAATATAAAGATTTATTAATATCAGAACCAAATTTATATGTGATTAAAGTTACAGGACCAATAAAGAAAATACTCGAAGGTTAATTACGTGATTAACACTACAAAAAAAATTGTCTGTAGCCACGGACTTAGTCACGGACCGTAGTGTAAAATTTCCGTGACTAACACATTTAGTCACGGATTTTGTTTGTGACTAGGTACGTGACTAATTCCGCGTGACTAGAACATAGTCACTGAACATTGACCGTGACTAAGTGTAGTCACGGCTTAGTCACGGACTCGGTCCGTGACTAAATCTTGACCGGAATTAGCCCTCCGGCGCGTTAGTCACGGACCATATCCGTGACTACTTTTAATTTAATTTTTTTTTTATGTTAGTCACGGACATGATCTGTGACTAAGTTTAATTTAAAAAAAAATTGAATTTATTCCGGATTAAAATGTAGTCACGGATTTTGGTCCGTGACTAATGTTTTTTGTTTTAAAAAAAAATCGATTTTAAATAAAAAAATAAAAAATTGAAAAAAAAATTAAATTTATTCCGGATTAAAACGTAGTCACGGATTTAGTCTGTGACTAATGTTTTTTGTTTTTTAAAAAAAACATTTTAAATAAAAAAATAAAAATTTATTTTAATTTTACTTTAAAGCAATTAGAATAAAAACAAATTCCATACAATCTTAAACATAAAAAATGTTATTATAGACTGAATTATAAAAACAAAATCCATACAATGTTAAACAATATTATGTAATTACATGCCCGTACGTCGGACTCCATTATGATAAAAATTAGAATCATCATAATCATATGTGTCATCATTATCATCATAGTCACGATGATGATCCTCTTCTGCATCCACGATGTCTAAGGTCGGGTACCTCCTCGGCTGCCTCGATTGCCTCCTCGATTGCCTCCTCGGTCGCTTCCTCGGCTGCATCCTCGGCTGCCTCCACCGGATGACTGAAACTGATTGAGAATATCAGACGACAGAGATCCGAATGTCGACCCCATTGCAGGCATGACACCATATCCGAAGTTAGAGTGATAACTCATATTACCCATGTGCGGAACCTGAGGAGTCTGCTCAACGTGCAACATGTACGGCCGAGGAAGAGGCTGAGTCGGAGGCTGATATCCGGCAACGATCCGTTCCATTGCTTCCAGCCGGACCCTTGTTTCTTCATCATTCTTCCGTTGCTGTTCGAATGCCCGTTGCTGCTCCTCCAATTCTCGCTGCAATTGGGCGATGCGTGGATCCTCTCCCCGCCTAGATCGAGAAGATGATGAAGCTCCGCTGCCGCTGCCGCTGCGATCGTACAAAATACGTTGCCCCTCAGCCCTGAGGCACGGAAGCCGACCCTTGTACACCCCAGCTGCCTCAAGGATCGCATCATCTTCCACATCAGAATCGATGTCATCTTCTTGCGTCAAGCCTAGTTCCGCCCGCTTCTTTTCAACATTTGCGTTATACTTTGTCTACAAGCATGTACAAAAATTATTGAAATGATAATTACTTCGATTTGAAATAATAAAATTGATGTTAAGTACTTCGATTTCAGCAAGGCGGGGTGGCAGATTGGCTTCCGACTCATCACCGTGCGGGGTCCAACAATGTTTGATGATCTTGAGGATAGAAACCCTCTTCTTTTGAGGCCCCGTCTACAAGGTTCGAAAAAGGTTTAAATAAATGTAAACAAATAAAGGGTTAAAATGGTGTAACGTTTATTTGAATAAGACTTACAAGAGCTTCTTTATGTTTACTCTGAGGATTGCGGCCTCCGTGCCATTGTGTCGTCGCAGCCTTCTCGGACATCCGATTTTTCTTCCCGGCTTCGCTTCTAGCCAAGAAAGTCGGATCCAAAGACCAGTGGCGGACGAGGTTTTCCCATACCTCATCCGAACACCATTGAGGACTTACCCCACTGGCTCGGGCACGCTTAAAAGTGGGACGAAGCCAATTTGAAACTCTGGCATTGTACGCCCTTAGAATAGCGGGGCCTTGTTCTTCAGTCCAGCGAAACCGGATCTTTATTAAAAAAATAAATTAACTTATCATTTGTCAAATTTTAGGTTACAACAATAACAGAAAATTCATTTTTTTACCTTTAACAAGTTCCACCAAAGTTCACGGACCTTGGGGTCAACATCCGTGTACGTAGCCGAGTTGCCAAGAAAGTGTCCACCAATTATGATTTTGATTTGGTTCAGCACTTCTTGATCGCTTCAAAAAATTAATGATATTTTTTATATCTATTTGGTTAGATTATTTGACATTAGATAAAATTATTTGACATTAGATAAAGTTCATAGTTACTTACTTAGCAACCATGTGAGGTGTCACCCATTCCGAATCTTCATTGTTGCGCTCGGCTTGGGTTAAGGGCGCATAGTTCGAGCGAGCACGGGAGGTTGATTGTTCATTGCTCATCTAAAATAATTGATTAATGAGGAGTATTAATTTACATTTTCAAATAATAGTGTAAATATAATAGAAGATCAAATTTTGGTTAAAATCTTAAATTATAAAAAACATTTTATATAAAAGCTGTTTTTTGTAAACTGTTTTTTATAAACTGTTTTTATAAACAGTTTTTTATAAACAGTTTTTTATAAACAGTTTTTTATAAAACAGTTTTTTATAAAACAGTTTTTTATAAACAGTTTTTTATAAACAGTATTTTATAAACAGTTGTATAAAAAACAGTTGTATAAAAAACATAAAAACAGTTTTGTGTAAAAACAGTTTTGTGTAAAAACAGTTTTGTGTATACCTTCCCAAATCTTCCAAATGGAGCAAATCCGTCTGAACACAATCTCAGTCGCACATTTTGTGGCTCCATTGCAAACTGAGGATGACAACGGTCAAAGTGTCTCCAAGCTTCACAGTTCGAAGGGTGAGACATCATACCCTCTTTTGTTTCGTGCTCAACATGCCATGTCATGTGTTTCGCAGTAGCAGTCGAAGCGTACATCCTCTGAAGTCGTGGAGCTATTGGGAGGTAATACAGTTTAGACAATGCCGACTTATTTTGTGGTTTCTTTCTACTTTGAGGAACTGGTTTGTATCTGTTTCCACCACAGAACTTGCAGAATTCAAGTGTCTCATCATCCTTCCAGAACAACATACATTCTTTCGGGCACGCATCAATTTCTATATAAGGTAGCCCCAACTTAGACATTAATTGCTTCATGTGATAATATGAATCCGGAAGGTTATGATCACGTGGTAGCATCCCGTCTACTGACTGCAAGACTCTAGTCATGCAAGTTTCAGGGAGACTGTATTCAGCTTTTATGTTCATAAACTCTGTAACGACGGATAGTTGAGAGTATCCCTCACAATCAGCATACAAGGGTTGATCAGCTGCTTTTAAAACATCTTGAAATCTTTCAGCTAAACCTTCATCCACATAAGGTTCATAAAATATCGGATTTTCATCCTCATGTGGTTGATACGAGGTCGAAGCTTCAGGAGGATCGTTAGATGGTTGTGGGGGGTTGAACTGAGACATCGATGCACCGTATGCGTCATATACCATACGTTGCTCCCATCTCATTTCAGCAGGGTCTCCCCACGCACTCATCTCTGCAGGGACGTTACGAGACGAACCTACCGTTTGTGGTAAAACAGATGGATCCAAAGGTTTGCCATGAGAAGTCCAATTGTAATAATTGGGAAGGAAACCGTCCGCGTACAATCCCACCCAACTTCGTCTGGGTGTTTAAATTTGAGATTTTTACACTTTGAACATGGACATCTGATTTTATCACCACTCATATAAGCCGAGTGTTCAAGTGCGAATTTAATAAACTCCTCAACTCTTTCAAGAAAATTTGATTGCATTCCGTACAATACCGCATGTTTATCATACATCCAAATTCTATTTTGTCTATACATTATGCCTGAATATTATAATGAAAAAATTATACAGGTTAAAAACTCTAAATTATAAACATTACCAACATATTATATGTGAAGTATTATTAATATATTAAAATCAACTAATTCCCTAAAATTCCCTTAAAATTAACTAATTCCCTTAAAATTAACTAATTTCCTTAAATTTCACTAAATTTCACTAAAATTCCCTTAAAATTAACTAATTCCCTAAAATTCCCTTAAAATTAACTAATTCCCGTAAAATTAACTAGTTTACTTAAATTTCACTAAAATTTCCTTAAAATTAACTAATTCCCTAAAATTCCCTTAAAATTAACTAATTCCCTTAAAATTAACTAGTTTCCTTAAATTTCACTAAAATTCACTAAAATTCCCTTAAAATTAACTAATTCCCTAAAATTCCCTTAAAATTAACTAATTCCCGTAAAATTAACTAGTTTACTTAAATTTCACTAAAATTCACTAAAATTTCCTTAAAATTAACTAATTCCCTAAAATTCCATTAAAATTAACTAATTCCCTTCAAATTAACTAGTTTCCTTAAATTTCACTAAAATTCACTAATACCCTTAAAATTAACTAATTCCCTTAAATTTCACTAAATTTCACTAAAATTTCCTTAAAATTAACTAATTCCCTAAAATTCCCTTAAAATTAACTAATTTCCTTAAATTTCACTAAATTTCACTAAAATTCCCTTAAAATTAACTAATTCCCTAAAATTCCCTTAAAATTAACTAATTCCCTTAAAATTAACTAATTCCCTTAAAATTAACTAGTTTCCTTAAATTTCACTAAAATTCACTAAAATTCCCTTATAATTAACTAATTCCCTAAAATTAACTAATTCCCTTAAATTTCACTAAATTTCACTAAAATTTCCTTAAAATTAACTAATTCCCTTAAAATTAACTAATTCCCTTAAAATTAACTA